CCGTTGCTTTTGCCAGTGATTACATAAGTGAGCGTCCGGCGCAGACACCAAGGCGCTTGACGATCTCTTGTGTATTCGTGAGGACTTGAAGCTCGGCTTAATAACTGACTGGCTCTGTCCATATTGGCGTCGCAATGATACAGTAATATGGAAGGAGACGAGAGCGATCTCCTAGGCCCAGGCACCAGCGTGCTGCCGCGCACCTACATATGGAATGTTCCAGAAACATGCTTCAGCGCCACACGCGTGACGATAAGCCTGAGATTCGTGGCTGAGTACAAGTAGAACATAGCGAGCCTAGGCGTGAACATAGTAAATTGTATCTCGGCTAATATATATTACTAAGCACTGAAACATGTAGACCCCTCGTCGCACCGGCGTAACTCCCGGACTCTATTCTTTTCCTCTCTGAATACTTGTAAAATTTAGAGCTATAATATTTCGTGATAGGACCTTTCCTTAAATGCTCTGAATTTTGAAAATACTTTGAATGTCGCGATTGAACAGGGGGAAACAGCGGAAGCGGCGACCAGTAGCATAAGTGAAACGATCGACAGCATAATCAACCACACTCTTTTTTTTGTTACTAAGTGGTCTCTCTAGGAAAAAATAGTAAAAGAAAGTGATATATAAATAACATCTTTATAGACTTGCTAAGAAAATATTTATAGTTCTAAAACTATAGATTTGTCTCGTAATAGGGGGCGTCTCGCTACGTAGGGACATACGTTTACTTCTCCCTGCGATGTTTGACAGTCTTTGTAAGATGAATATAAAACCTCTTGCTTTAAGGTTGACTGCATTATTGACAGCATTAGTTCATAAAGGCTGTTTTATCCCACTTCATTTACTGTCCTATCTATTAGTAATCTGCAAACAAGACTCTAACAGCTGTTGTAAAAATCGCCCTTATTTAGACCTATTCTTGCTTTTTGCAAAATGAGGGATCTGGAAGCATTCCTGCTTGGATCAGGTCATCCAATTCTGCCTTGTTTTCCCACCTATTGTAACATTCCAGATACTCATCAGCAAGAAATTCCGATATAGCGCCAGCTACGTTATCACCACGGTTATCGTAAAGAGTTTTATCCAGCGTCCCAGGCCATCTCTGCATCATCGGTGGGAAAAAGCCAGCATATTCCCAATCAATCAAGGCCTTGACTTGAAGAGACTTTGGGTCCATGATGATGTTGTGAGCCGCAAGATCCCCATGTTGAAACACATATCCTGGCTCATTCAGTGGAAGAGTTTTCCAAGTTGTTTTACCTTTCCACGGTGGCTGGAGGTCAGGACTCAGCCAAGAAGGCGGCATGACAAATCCATCAATGCCCCGTTCTTTAGACTTCAGCTTCTCAAGCTGGGGTAAAACTATGTCGTTTATAAAGCAGAGGGCATTCGTGTAAGCGTCGCTTTCATCCCTTGTACCAAGAAGTCGATTCAGAGTAACGCCATCGATACGCTCTGTAACCAAATATCGTCGGCCATCGGAATAAGCTCCATGGGCAATTAGTTTTGGTACGGGTATTGTTGTATCCTTCAAGACTAGCTGCAAGGCTCTGACTTCGTTGGCAATGCGTTCATGGTTCCTGAACAAAGAATAATTAGCACAACGTGGTCTTACGGGAAAACGAAACTGGGAATATTTTACAATGATCTGAACCATTCAACCTGCATGCCGTCATTTCTAGTAAAGATCCACTTAAGTCGCGAAGTTTTTTGGAAGTTTTCCGGGGTAAGCTCGTACGTCATGTCGTTCGTTTCCCATTTCTGATAATTCATATCTGGTCCGTCGAAGTCGGGCGGATCAGCTAAGGATGTTGAAGACGAGGTCGACGATGATGCTGCTTGAGACGTATGTTTTGAGTCGCTGGCCGCTACAGGAGATGGCTCTGGCTCCTTAGTTGAGGTGGATGGAGGAGCCTGGATAGAAGTTGTGGACAGTGGATGGTAGACTGTGAGACGGGATTCTCCTCTGCAGAACTCTAAGATTTTGGTGAGTGTAGTGTAGTGTAGTGGAATCTAACGTCTTTGCAGGCTAAATAACAGACTAGAAGCAGTCATGTTCGATGAAGAAGAGGACGGTGGTATTGACGTCTTTGGCATGAAATCAATTTGGACGACGACGCGGTGAAAGGACGGCACGGCTTAGTAAGCAGATTATTAGGATTCAACGATTGGTCAGGGTTCGCCAACTTTTCTGCTAATAGGAATCTAGAGCACCAGGAATGCGTTTTTGCACAAAGGAGATTGCAAATAGGCAATAATAGATTTTATCAACAGGTCATGTTGAGAAAGCCTGTCGTTCTGGGCCATCAAAGCTTTCCGCAGTGATCGTATATATATAAACCTATTTCTTGTCCAGTCAAAACCCTCCTCCAACTCCGACCCGCCCACGCTTCCATTTCATTCCACACCCTCTTTCCCCGCTAGTAGCTATTGCTACTTCCTATGAATTACATGTTAGCAGTACTCGTATGAAATACGACCAGTTTCTTATACTTTGGTTTCGCTAAGCATGCTGCACACAGTGTAACACTTTCGGAGATAGTTGCACCGCATTGGCACTTCTTCGTATTAGGAGTAGTGTCTGGCATTGTCTCTAGCTCGGTACCCTCTTAATTATATTAGTCGTGTTGGTTAGGAATAAGTAAGTATTGGAACATACTGATGTAAATCTGTGTCTTGGAGGAACAAATCTGAGTGTTTCAAGCCGACTTGAAGTTTGGCTAAATAGTCGTGTTATCGATCTACTTAGGATGTGCAGTGGTGCTTTTATAATTGATTTTACTACTGTGCCGATTCTATTGCTCTATTTTGTTATCAGTTCTGTGGCACAGATATGATGCTCGCGTGATGCAGCCATCAGTTACACAACACTTCGCTCATCACACCATCAACTATGATTATAACCAATTACATATACGAGTTTAATCTAGCTACAATCAAGGTGAGATTGAAAACATTTGATAGTCAACGCTCTCAATATTCTCCATGCTCAAGGTTGCGAGCTGCTCCCCAAAGTCGATTGATTTTATTGCTATAGACAGACTTACAGTGTGACCCTCCATCCATCCTGTTGTGGTGAAATATGTTGTTTTATTGGCTCGGTTTACAGCCATCATGCATCAAAATATGCAAACCTTCGGAAGGAAAGCCTAACGTCTTCCTTGTTTCCTCGAATAAAAAAACAGGAAACTGCACACCCTCTCCGCGGAACGATATGCGCTGTGGTGCAGATATCAGGTGCTACAAATTAAACGGTCATTTATGCCATAGAGTGCCGTATATGCAGAGTCTCGAATAGAAGTCGGGGCATGATAACCTATCTCTATTGGATTGGTGGATCTCCTTGATGCTGCAACTTCTGGTCGCTTGACCCGGTGTCAAGCGAAAGATGTATTGGAGAACCCTTAAAACATGTCACAAATCATTTTGACAGCTAAACCATTCGCTATTGCCTAAAACTCATGCAGATGTGGAATACAGAGTTTTGGTAAAACAGCGCATGGGTCGGGGCAACGGGCGTCTGCTCTATTACCTACGTTGGCTACTCCGGCTTGTGTATAACATGACATGTTCGTTAATTATTTGCCTACCTCAAGCATTGGGTGGCTTTTCTTCTTGGAGGGAAACGTGATAGTGATAGAGCGGGTAGAAAAGGCTAAGATCTACATACTTAGTTAGCCCTTTCTCTTCGAGCAGGAGTGTGGTAGTACGCTGCAGAGTGCATACTTCTAATGAAAGATATACACTGACTTGCTAGCGTTAAGCAAGTCGTCAAGGTAGCAAATCCGCGCTCGGCGAACCAGAGAGATGTTCCCAAGGTAGACTGGTATAAGCTTTCCTTGAACTTCGTCTAAATGTCGGTAGACCAGACCTTCGTGCTTCAACTTCGCGGTAAATGCCGTTACGGTCCCCTTTGCAACGAAAGTATATCCATACGATTCCAAAGTCATTCTGAAAAGAGTAGGACAGCATCAGAAAACGAGAGCGGGGAAGAGGATGTATCTATGCTTACTACCTAGAGGAAAACTACGCGGCCTTCTATAATACTAATAGATAACGGTTCGCCATCCAAGGCTCTCACCGCGCGGTCACTTCCAGCCTCTTGGGCCAACTCACGAGCTGTCCGCCCCGCATTGTCCGTTGCAGACAATGAACTACCTCTGTCGACCAACAGCTTTGTTGCTGCGCCATAGTCTAACTCCGCACAATAGTGCAATGGTGTACGTCCGAGTTTGTCCTTTGCTGCAGTTTCTGCCCCGTTGTCGATCAGCAAATTGATGAGTTCCTTAGAGCCGTCTCTTGCGGCTAGATGGAGGGCTGTGACTCCCTCCGAATCTGCAGCGGATCCCGCTATGCCCCTTTCTAAAAGAAGAGCCACCGTTTCCTCAGACCCGCTCCTTAGAGCCAAATGTAACAGTGTCTGGCCCTTCGAGTCTAGGTAAGACATGTCTCCTCCGGCGAGGAGAAGCTCCTCAACTGCATCCCTGTGCCCCTCCTTTGAGGCCCAGCATATCGCCGTCTGGTGGTACATATCCTCTTGTGATACTGAAGCCCCGTACTCCACGAGCAGGCGGATCACCTCTCGGTGGCCGTTCTGAGCCGCTCGTATCAATGGTGTTCCGTCGAAAATATCCCGGGAGGAGTGATGTGTGCCACTTTCAAGCCGGTGCCTCGCCTTGCTGACATCCCCATTTGTGCACGCCGACGAAAGGAGGAACACGGTATCGAAGGAGAACTGAGTCGCTCTGCAAGTTGGGCAGCCCCCCGTCTCGAAAATAGATTTAGCCATGCAGGACTCGTGCCCCCAATGTGGACATTCGCACCGAAGCATCACCATCTCTACCCCAATATCTCCATTCTGTAGACAGATAGGACACGGCTCCGCGACTGTCGAGTTATCAATGATCTTCCGGTGGACGGAGCTGTCGGGAAGTTTAGTGACACTGTCGCGATATGCGGTCCGTAAGGTACTAGCATCGAAGGCAGTGCCTTCTATCGAAAGAAGTGCCATACTGTCAGTCGAACTTGAGATCGTAGGATATGATTCGGTTGCATTTGTGCGACTACACGTAGGCGTCAGTTGTTGAAAGATGCACATGAAAGTCACACCGGTGGTTCACCCTCACCTTCCGGCTTTCGAAAATGGTATTGCGAACGGTGCACCGGGGATGACCTCTCAGTGTCGACGTACAGACACAGTGTGCAGAATGCGGAGAGATGACGGAAGAAGCTTGGGATAAACGCCAATTCTGGACCCCGCTAAATCTGGATGCCTCAACTGCCAAGCCAAGAGATCCGGAACGGATCTTTTTTGTTCCGCCTGCTTGGCATCTCTGACAACGACCTCACAAATAACGCAAGCGGGGGATTTTATTTTGTGGCTTTTCATATACCTTATCGTGTATTAAATCTATTCTTATCTACACGTTGGGTGTTCGAAAAAATTTCAAGATGTCGAGAATACAAACGGATATTGGCTAGTAAAATAGGTAGAGTTGTGATTCAGGCAGAGTTCTCCCATTAGGGTGCAGAGAGCTGGTCCCAAGTGGCTTTGATGGGGTGATGGAGCAAAAATTGGCTTCCGTGGCAGGAAGCTTGGGACAAACGCTAATTCTGGACCCCACATGAGGTCATCACGATTCTCAGGCTTGGTCCACTACAGTCTGGATATTGTGATTGGCATTATGGCATGCGTTAGATACCTTAGTGTATAAATGCTGCCTCAAGTTTCGGCTACTATCAATTCAGCGAATCCATGCACAACTGAATTGTTAATATAGTAAAAGGCGAATTGTGTGTAGCTAATTTCATAGGTAACTTTTTAAGCTGGCTCCACTTCCTGATGCTTGTGGCTGTGCAATAGGTTCGTCAAAGCCACTTTTATGTCAGCCAGAGTCGGGCTGATGCCGACCTCATCTCCCGCCAATACTATGAAAACTACAGATTAGCCTTCAAGCATACACGTGATCGGATTTAGGCTGTCATTTTTTTCTCCTAGGGTTACGCGACGCCTCGGCACTAGCATAAAAATGAGTGCTGGCATAAAATGAGCATAAATTCAGTAAGGAAAACATTTTAATTCATCAAAGCTATTTACAAAACTAGCTAGAGTGCAAATCGCCCCCTTTACACTAATCACTCTCCTCACCTTGCCTAAACGTTGTACTTTTCCTGACCAATTGATTCAATTAAATGACAGTTGATCTAACCGGGCTTGGGATTCTTATTAGGAATAGTTAACTAGTAAACTCGTGACACACAATAACCTGAAAGATAGATATTTGAACAACTGTGGGCATCAATTAAGGCATTCTCTTTGACAGACACGATGCTTCCAGCAACAGTTAAAAGTACGCCCCCATATTGTCGGTTCTTCCCGTCCCCTTGAAATCGTTTTCAAAAACTTTCCCAATATCAAGGACCGTCTGTATATGAGTAATAGACAAGCTTGTCTTGCTATGGTTTGCTAACGCATTTGCTGCACGTACTGTATTCTTGATCTGTGGAGAGACATCGATTATTAAACGAACCTTCTTCGGCTTCCACTATAGACAACTTACCTGTCGACCATTAAGGTTCTGTGTTGCCAGATGTTCAAGTTCTTTGGCACTATAGGATATTACTACACCCTCTGTCTTTGTCAAAAAATTATCCCAGATCATTTTCCTAGTATTATATCCTAGGGGTTGGTAGGAAATTCCGATGTGTATTCTGCTCTGTATAGCGTGGTCGAAATCTCTTACCCGATTAGTCGTAAGCAGCATGATCCCTTGAAAATACTCAAGCTTACGTAAAAAGACCGCGACAAGAGTGTTGTGCTGATGATTTTCAGACCGTTGGCGGAGAAATGCATCGGCCTCGTCAAGGAGTAGCAAGGCGTTCCAATGACTGGCTAATTCAAAAATTTCCGCTAATTGCTTATCGAGGGTGGCCGGGTCATGGCTAAGGTTTGCAGCAGAGACCTTAAGGTCAGCTTCAGTAAATGCTAGGTGTTCTCGCCATACTTACTGTAAAAAGGGCCTTGCGAAGGAGTTCAGAGAGTGCTTCAGCAGTCATTGTCTTTCCTACGCCGGGTGGCCCGCTATTGCGTGTGTTAGTATAGCTTCTGTTTAGACTTAGAACTGGTTTACCTACTATAAAAGTATGTTCAGACCACGACCTTTGCCCTTGACAAAGTCATCAAATATACAGATTTTCTCCTGCATTAAGTGTTCGGTCGTCAGAGCTTGAATAAGCGTCTTTGACTTTGGTGGGATTGCAAGTTGGTTAAAAATGGACTCATTCCAGCTGATGTCTGAGATATTAGCGACCGCAAACTCTACTATGAAGAGGTTAGTAACAGGTATATGAAAAGATAGAAGCACAATACTTACGCCATAAATGGTCTTCTAGACTAAAACCCAGCACAGTAGGACTGCATATCAGAAGGTCTTCGGCATCTAGCCTATCAAGGTCTACACTCTTCTTGAGAGTAGATTCATCTAGCTGTGTGCTAGGATCATCGTTGAGCATTAATTCCCATATATCGATACTCCCAGATCTCTTAAAGACGCTTGGTCTAGCATAGTTGGGATTGACTTCCTGGAACATGGCTGGATCCACTATAATCCTGCTGTTCACGGAGATCTCGACCGCCTTCCCTTTCTCCATCTGAAAAGCTCTCCCTTTATACTCCCGATGCGAGACTCCAACCAAAGAACAGAATTTCCGGCCGCACTCCGTAAGCTCTTCCTGAACAGTCTCTCGTGTTAGGTGGTGAAGAAGTGGAAAAGCCTCGAGTGTGCTAATAGACTTAGATCCGCGGAAACTCAAGATTGCTGTCTGGACTGGAACCTTTCCTAGAACCTTCCCGTCAAATTCGACATAGTTTCCTTTGATATGGAAGTATTCTAAACCGTTTGGGGTAGTCTCCGCTTCGCCAGACTCGTATCTGATGCACCTTGGCTTTTTGGTCCCTTCACATGTAGTATAGACCAGAGTATTTGGTTTGAAAAGCACCCAGAGCAGGTCGTAAGTGATCTCTTTGCTCCCTAGGAGCACATTAAGTCGCTGCGTGGTGTCTGCGTAGGACGACTTGATGTAGTCAATAAGAAGTTGGATATGTTCGTGGCTTGTCTGGTCGAGGGGGTCGATCTCATTCCAGTTGCGGCACGACTCAATTTCAGGGAGAAAGTTGTACAAGATGTTCCGTTCGACCTGAAGTAATGAGTTACTGCTTCGTTGGAATCAAAGAAGAAATTCTTACCGAGAGTTTTTCCTCCTTAATACTAATCCCGGCAACATCATGAAGGACGTTCCTCAAGGCGTCCCGAAGCGTGAGAGAATTAATATCGATATAATACGTCGTCTGTTCGCTCTTTTTATCTTTGGTGGGCTTGTCAGCGTAGATCCCTTGCTAATAGGTGACGCACTTACCAACCCGGCCACGAACTACAAAAACGTATTGTCCTAGGCCACTAATTTCCTTCGGCTTTGGAGATTCCACAACAGTGTATTTGTAGGCTTTGATATCCCAACTACACCATAATTGTTAGTATGTTTACAAATATGTGGAATTATGAGCTTACACTTCGTTAACTTCCTTGAAAGCCAGCAGTGAAGCCTGAGCTACCGCTTTCGGTTGAGAAGAGTTGGGCTGCGGGGCCTGGGAAATCTCAGTGGCGCTATCTGACTTTGTATCTATGAGCTTAAGAAAAAGCTTTTCGAGATCTTGTATTGTGATGGGTTGTGTAGATGTCTGATGATCTGGGCACTCAATCTTTGAGGCAGGGGCAGTGGAAGCAATCTCCCTGACCACGACTTCTTTGACCATGTCAATGAACTGCTGGACATTGTTCAAGGTGACAGGTGATAGCTGATTCGGGCTGCTTGGTGGTGTAGCTGGTTGCGCTGCGGACAACGGAGGGCCGGTATGGATCATGTCTGCCGGCGCCATTGTCAACGTGGAGATGAGAGATGATTTTATGTACGTGGTAGATAAGACAGATATGTGTGAGAAAGTTTAGAAAGATGCTTAGGGATCTGGATGCTAGGTAACACGAGAAGGCGATGATCAAAACTTCAGAGGGGTTCACTGTTAAATATCCGTCTGCGCCAACATCGGATTTCTGATGACTACCCTTGGATACACTTGTATTCCAAGGCCATAGCATGATGCGTTAGCGTCTGGATAATCAAGATGGCTTCGCCGATTGTCCATACAGCAATGTGGGAGACAGTGCATATTGTTAGAAGATGAATTTATGGCTCATCGATTGGTGCGGCACTTCAAACATGTAACTTCTCCGTGCAGCACTCTTTCGATTCTTAAGATCTCAATTGTGTCAAGGCAACATTGCGGAGACGTCGGGTTTCGTAATAGGATTCTTATCCCCAAAGAAGCTGAAGAACGATGCTTCAAAATGTAGTATTGCCAGATCAGCATGCACAGCTCCGCATGTTGCACTTGCCATGGAAAGAAAATGAAGATACCCCACGTAGAAAACATGGTCTATGAACGATAGCAATTGGGCTAGAGCTTTGGATACGAGTCTGAATTGAGAAAATAGGCCACAACATTGGCCGATCGGGAGGGGACCATGGAGTCATGATCCTTGAAAGCGAAAGGGTCGCAAAAGTTATGATCCTGGCACGCAGTGGACAAAAGAAGCGGGAGTTTTTTGGACGGCTGCCAACGACTTAACCAAGGTACTACAATACTTTAATACAAAAAACTTACATAATTAGAAATCCATTGCTCGCATCTATCATATTCCCAAGTCTTGTTTGATTTAATTGTGTGTTGCGCCTGTAATCATGGATATACGTCATCGCCGCTTTTCTATATAAAAAAAGCTCCCGCTTATTTTGTCCACGGCGTGCCTGGAAACGCAGGGATCATGGACTCATGGTCCCGAAAGGGTTAGGGTTAGGGTTAGGGTTAGGGTTAGGGTTAGGGTTAGGGTTAGGGTTAGGGTTAGGGTTAGGGTTAGGGTTTTTAAATCTTTAGTGTTTTTTCCAATTTCTATTTGCATTGATTCAACGTGTCTATCTAAGTCCTCTAATTCTTTTTTTTTTAGAGTCAGGTGTATACGAAGATCTTTCCAATGTTTTTTTTTTTTGCAAAGCACAATATGCATCTTTCTTTA